TTGATTTGATTCCTGTGTATTCCATCTGATGAGGTCCATGTGTATAGTCACTGTTTATGCTGTTGAAAAAAGGTTATTTGCAATGAATAAGCTGTTGGTTTTGCAAAATTCTATCATGTGATCTTGAAGTCATTGCTATCACCAAGGCCATATTTTCCAACTACCAATCCTTCTTAGTTTCCAACTTTGCATTCCAATCACCAGTAATTATCAATGCATCTTGATCACATGCTTGATCAATTTCAGACTGCAGAAGTTGGTAAAAATCTTCAATTTCTTTATCTTTTGCCTTATGGTTGATGTGTAAATTTGAATAATAGTCATATTAAACTGATCTTCCTCGCAGGAGTATGGATATTATCCTATCACTGACAGTGTTGTACATCAGGATGGATCTTGAAATCTTCTTTGTGATGATGAACGCGACACCATTCCTCTTCAACTTGTCATTCTCAGCATAGTATACCATATGATTGTTTGATTCAAAATGGCTAGTACCAGTCCATTTCAGCCCATTAATCCCTAGGACATCAGTCTTTATGCATTCCATTTCATTTTTGTCGACTTCTAATTTTCCTAGATTCATATTTCATACATTCCATGTTCCAATTATTAATGAATGTTTGCAGCTGTTTCTTTTTATTTTGAGTTGTATATCAGACCCATTAAAAATACCTGCTAATGCGAAGGATAAATCCTTTATATTGGCTTTTAAGTTTTTGGACCTAAGGTGACATAGGATATTTGAAGAATCTCTTAGCCTTAGGTAAATTTTCATTTACAAAAAGTGGCGTGTCTTGAAAATAGTGGTTTTCCAACCTTCCCATTCTGCCAATGGTGTGATGGTAAATTCTGTGGGATCCTAGGCAACTCTTTCTAAACACTCGTGAGTTTCTAGCTTTATTGATCACTATAAGTTCTTTATTTTCATTCTGTGCCCATAGGCGTTGATGCTTGGGCTGCTTTCCCCAAATAGGAATATGTGTTGATCATACCATCATGGACAATTTGGGGTCATGTTGGGAGTATATGTGTGGGGAGGAAGGGGTTAAGAACAACAACAAAAAAATAGAGCAATTTAAAAAAAATCAAGTAACTGGAAAAATTTCCAAATAATTGCTAAACTTTTGGTATTTAAGTACATGAAGAAAAAACTGAGTGATAAATTATACATGGCAGTATGAAATTTGCATAATAGGGAGTTTATCTGTATTCCCCTGGTTCCACTAGGTGGGTAAAGTTTTGTGCTTTCCTATTCTTGATGCTGACATTGTTATATCCTTGCTGTCCCAAGAAAGGTGACTAATTCTCTGTTGGCTTTACCAAAGGAAAGAGGCAGAACAGCATGACTCACAATTATAATCTTTCTTTTTCCTTCATACAAGAAAATTGCCTTATGTGTGTGACTTGATGAAACATTTAATTGAGAAGAAGCCTTACTAATTGCAGTCAGTGAAGTGAAATGCCCTCTGAATAAGACCATTTATTGGTTAAATTACATTGTCAGCAGAGCTATAAATCTGAATCATCTCATTGTAATGAGATTTAGACTTCTTTCATTCTTTGTAAAGGTAAAATAGTCATTGTTTATCAGTTCAGCTTTATGCAAACGTACATACACATAAAATTATATTTGTATATCTCATGTGTAAATGAAATTAAGACTATGAGTTATTTTATTAATCAGACAGATCAACTTCGGGGATTCTTTTGTTTTAAGATTTCTTGACAGCAGATGAGGCTACAGCAGTTGTATTTCCTGATTATGATTGGCAAAGGTGTAGACTCCATGTTATTGAGTAGGATTATTCCTGGGTTTTTTTTTTTTTTTTTACCTGAAGATTTTTAAAGGTAGCGTGTATAGCCTCTATTTGGTAAAAGTGAGACAAAGGTTTTGTCTACTAAAATGATTGTTAGAGGGAGGTAGAAGAGAATTCTGTTTGAAAATACTGCTGCCTCTCTCCCAAAACAGAAACTAAATCCTAGTTTTCCATTCCCCTATGATGTATTTAGTTCTCTTTGCCACTTATTTTAGCTTTGAGACTCAGCATTTGATGGTTGAGAAAAGAACCTGAGTCAGATGCCCTGCCTAGGTTCTTTTGTCTGGTGGGAATGTCACAGAGCATTGTAATTGCTTGCATGGCTTCTCCCTTGATTTTGAGTTACTTGAGGGAAGACACCATGTCTTATTTACCAGTGTAGCTTCAGTGCCAGGAATAGGGGTCACAAAGCAGCAGCTAAATAAATGTTTGTTGAGTGATACACAAGTATACTTCCTTCTATGATGCAACCAAACCCTAATCTGAGTGAGCAACATAGTTGCTCCTTCTTGACAATATCATTTTTAGTTTTAAACAAGGCATAATGTGTGTGTGTGTATGGTGCATGATGAACTCTGCAGACAGTTGCTGTATTTCTTTAAGAGCTTTGGAATTTGGATCGTTTTATTCATATGAAAATCTATACCTTGTGCTTATGATTCAATAATTTAGTATTTCAGAATATTTTCATGAATGGTTGCATCGTTAAAATTATGAGATAGTCTCCCAAAGGAACAATTTTGAAGAACCCTCATTTGATTATGTAGACTTTGATGTTGCAGTAGCCTCCCGTTTTGTTACTCTAGTTCTGGCATTGTCCTTCCTTAAGTCTTTGGACAAAGCCTCTAGATGGATCTTCTATTCTTCTCTCTAAAACTTTCAATGACTCTCATCAGTTACAGAATAAATTTCAAATGCATTAACTTGGCATTTAAAACCACTCATCATTGAGCCCTGGCCTGCATTTCTAAACTTAATGCCTGTTTGTTCCCTCTACGTAACGTGCACATCAACCAAATGCAACTATTTGTTAGTTCACATTCATGAATAGTGCTTTCCCATGGTATGGAATGATCCTCCAATCTATATCTCCATATATAACCCCCCCTTACCCTTTGAAGCTCTACTTAAATGCTACCAAAAACCAAAAACCCACTGCTGTCGAGTAGATTCTGACTCATAGTGACCCTATAGGACAGAATAGAACTGCCTCATGGGGTTTCCAAGGCTGTAAATCTTTATGGAAGCAGACTGCCACATACTTCTCCCATGGAGCGGCTGGTGGATTCAAATTGCTGACCTTTTGGTTAGTAGCTGAGCACTTTAACCGCTGTACCTCTGGGGCTCCTTACTTAAAATCTAGTCAGCTTCAATTTTCTTCCTTCTTATATTATTACATCTACAAATTTTATGACCCTTATAATTTCTATCTTATTTTATGGTTTTTGTATACAGATCTTCTATGCCCTATTTGACTAAGCCATTTAAGCCCAGAATACAGGTATTCTTGGGCCTTGACTCCTCTATGGCTCTCAGCACCCTGCCTTGCATATAGCAGAGTCTCAATAAATATTGATTGGGATTATGAGCACATAGGAACACATTTATAAACTGACAGCATCAAATGATTTGGATATTTAAGACTATGGCCACTATGATATTGCCTCCTATATTTCTTTAAGGGCTTTTGGAATTTGGATAGTTTTAGTCGTATAAAAATCTATAACTTGTGCATATGATTCAATAATTTAGTATTACAAAGTAAATTATCCTAGAACTGTAAGTAATTGGAATACTTTGGTAACAGCATGTTCTGAACAATTTAATTTTCTAGTTAACTCAGGGTTAAGCAGAGAATCCTTTCTGTTTCATATCTTGTTGAAAAATTCTTTTGAAAATATGTTCATTTCCGATCTTAGCCAAATAAAACATCACTAAAATTTTCTTTGATAAATGAGGATATTAGAATGCCTCTGGGTAATTATGGCATGCCTTAATTCTCATTCTCATTTCGTATACATACATACATATATATATATATATATATATATATATATACACACATACACACACACACACTCTCTCTCCTCACTTACTGGCATGGTTAGGTGTCAAAGACCAGCTTGTTATGTGAAATCAATATTATGCAAAAAGGAAGGTTGACCATATCAAATCAGAAAATGGAGGATGAGTACATCATAACATAACTGCCAAGTTACCTCACTTTTACATAACTGCCAAATTACATTATTACATAACTGCTAAAACACTGAGACTCATGGCCTAGCCAAGGTGACACAGAACCTTAACCATCAAAGCCAAGGTTACTCTTGCCTCACACCTCGGCGTTTGTTACTGCCCGACATATGTCGTTAATGTGCGAAATAGTCAAATAGTAGATTTTTTTCTATTGCTGTAAATGAGAAATGTTGGATAATGAGATAATTGATAAGTGAGGGAAGGTGTATGTGATTTTGGGGTTTGGATTCCATCATTAAAGTTCTTTTCATGAAACTATATATGGCCTCAGACATTATTTTTGGGTAGGAACAAAACAAATACCTGATATTTACTTTTATAACCTTAGCCATAGGAAGGACCAGAATATGTGCTTTAGTCTGTCTTAATGAGTGTTTTCTTCACTTTCAGTTGAATATTTTCCCAATCGTTTGCTACATATAAATATTGGAGAAGATGTATTTTATTAGTAACTTTATTTCCAGTTGCCACTGAGTCTATTCCAACTCATGGTGACCTCATGTGTAGAGTACAGTAGAACTGTACTCCATAGGGTTTTCAATAGCTGTGACCTTTCAGAAGTAGATCAACAGGTCTTTCTTCTGAGGGCCCTTTGGGTGAATTTGAACCACCAACTTTTTGGTTATTAGCGCTTAATCATTTGCATCACCCAGGGACCAGGGACTCCTATACATTTATTATTGTATAAATATTTTCATAAATTATATTTAGCATATATAATAATTTTTTTTTGTTTAACCTTTGGTTTAGCTTTTTTCCCAATGAAGATTTCTGTCTTTAAAAATTTCCTGAATTATGTGTAGTTTTGAATTTGTAACTTATACTGCTTTACCTCTGGCATAATTATTTTGTTTATCTTGAATATTTTTCAGAAGTTTTCACAAATCACAATAATTTTAAGGCAATATTGTGACAACAATCATGAACACAAAAGATTTTGTAGTTCTTCCATGGGGAAAAGCTGGAAATTCTATAAAGCTAAAATATAAGTAAGTACATGTATGTTTATTACTTAAATAGAAATAATATCCCAATTTTTATATATTGTAATTTAAACTATTCTTATTGCATGAATCTGTTTAGAGTTGAAGTCTGACTTTGTGAACTCTTCATAGTGTTGTATTTTTCTCTGTAAGAGATTAGATTTGAAATGTTGTATAACTCTATGTAGATCTATAATAGTTTAAATGATGAACCAAACTCATTGCTGTTGAGATGATTCCTACTCATAGCTACCCTGTAGGATAGAGTAGAACTGTCTCACAGGGTTTCCAGGCTGTAAATTGTTACAGAAGCAGACTGCTGCATCTTTCTCTTGCAGAGCGGCTGGTTGATTTGAACAGCCAACCTTTCGGTCAGTAGCCAAGCGCATAAACATTGTGCCACCAGGGCGCTCTAAAATAAAGGAATAAAAATTTTTATGCCACAAGAACCAAAGTGAAAAGTTCCAAATGAAAGGTGGGCTTATTAACTATTTGATCAGTATAACAAGAAGTTACAAAAATTTTCATATGTCTTATTCAATGTTAAAAAAGAATTATTGTAAAATTTATGAAGAAACTGAACTTTAAGGAGAAATTAGGGTAAGAAGCCTTTAAATGGAGAAGAAGGCATCAAATACCATAGTCCTTTGCATAGTGAAGGATGTAATATGAATTGTTATGAATTCACCTTTCCCAGGAAGGCTACTGTCTTAGTTATCTAGTGTTGCTGTAACAGAAATACCACAATGGGTGGCTTTAATGAACAGAAATTTATTTTCTCACAGTTTAGGAGGCTAGAACTCTGAATTCAGGGCACCGGCTCTAGGAGAAGGCTGTCTCTGTCTGCTCTAGGGGAACATCTTTGTGTCAGTTTCTCTTGGCGTTCCTTGCATGTTTCCAGTGACATCTGTTTTTCCCTCATTCATTGTTGCTTGCCTAAACTGCTCTTTTATATCTCAAAAGTGATTGGCTTAAGGCACACTCTACACTTGTATGGCCTCATTAACATAACATGGAAAACTCTATTCCCAAATGGGATTATATCTGCATGCATAGAGGTTAGGATTCTGATACATATTTTAGGAGGACACAATTCAACTTATAAGAGGTACCTTCTGTCCTAAATTAATTGGAAGATGAATTCAGTAAAAGCCAAGCAATTCTTGGTCTCCTGGGTATTTCATGACATTGCATGGGTACCAGCGCACTCAACACACTATTTCTCTTCAAGATCACCCAGAGTCATTGGAAATACCCAGGGCCTTCCCCTCAAATATCACTGAGGGCCAGCCACCATTTTTTTGAGGACAGACTGTTGATTTTTAAGTTTAGTGTCTGAGTTGCCCTATCCAGATCAATCCTCCTAACATTATTCAGTGTCTTCAGAACTTTTTAATGCCCTCTTCACTTTTGAGATACTGTGTGTAAAAGCACTGTGTAACCTGGAAAGTGTTATACGAATATATGGCATTATCACTGATAGGTGTAACACCATTTGTGTCACTTATTTGAAGAGGGGAATTGAAGGAGTATCCAAGTGCCAGCACTACCTTTTTTTTTTTTTTAATGTAAAACGAGAAAGGGGAATGCATTCTGTGATGTTTCAAGAAATCTATGTGTATATTTCTATAAACGTTAATCCAAGAAACCTATATTAAGAACAGATGTTCCAGACACTGTGTTAAGGAAGGATGGATACAAAAGTAGAAAGTCATGATCTGATCCTTGTCCTTAGGTAGTTATGGAGGACATGAATAAGTAAAATTACATTTACAATATAGTGTGAAATATGGTGTGATAGTGTAAGCACAGGGGGCTATGAGAACATGAACAAAACTGCTGGGGAAGGGGTGAGGAGGTCTACAAGCTTTGCCTGAGAGACACAGTTAGTTGAGTAACTACTGGGTGAAATTTGCGCCAGATAGTGTGGGAACTTTTCGACATAATCCAGATGACTAAGGTTTACAGAACAAACTTGGACAGATGACACACTAAAGAGTTTGGAATTTATCCTGGAGATGAGTGGAAATCAGTTCCCTTGCCTGTATTTTACTTTGACCCACCCATGTCCCACAAATTCATAAAAACCAGGCCATGAATACCCACTCAATGGTAATTGCCCTGGAGTTCCCTTTCTCACCCTTTCCTTGTTTCATACCTGCTTTCGCTTGGCAGTGTCTTAGCTTGGCTCTGTTCTGGTGTTCTCTACCTCCTTTCCGTGCCCCAACCCATTTCAGTCTCGTTGCTGACCCTTGGATTTGTTGTGTTGACATGCTCTTTCCAGGATCAACCTTAGCTTTCCTCAGTGGCCTTGTCTGCCCTCTGGCTCTGTGTCCAACGCTGTCACCAGGAGGAATCCTTTGTCTTGTGCCAGATTCATAGAATCCAACCATAAACTTGATCACTTGGTCAGTAGGCCAGCAATTTTTTTCAGTCTCACACCTCCCCCAACCACACTGGCGATTTCAGAAGCATTCAATTTTCTAACCAAGGGATTGACACAATCACATTTGTGCATTTGAACTCTTTCCTGGACACAGTGTGGAAAGTGTTGTAGGCTATTGAGACTTTGTTGAAAGTATGTAGACAAGGAGACCAGCTGGGGACCAATCCTGAATTGTGCCCCCGCCACACCCCACAGTGATCTAGTTCAGGAAATTTGCCTCCTGTTTGCTCAAGCTGAAAACCTGGATTTGATCTTAGATTCCTTCCTTGTCCCCTCTCTCTTCAGGTTCCACCTTTGGTCAGTCTCCAAGTCCAGTTCTATGTCCTCATATATCTCAGATGCTCCCACTTTTCTCTTCATTGCCTTTATGCAGGCAGACCAGCATAATCTCTCTATTATTTGGATTATTGAGATAATAATCTGCTTCCAACCTTACACGCTCTAATTAGTTTTCTGTAATACAACCAGAATGATATTTCTAAAATACAAGTATGATAATTTCTCTTAAAACCTTTTGATGAATCCTCATTTTTCATAGGATAAAAATCCCAATTCCTCATCATGGTTTACAAGGCTCTGCATGACCTAGCTTCTGTTTAACCTCAGCAATTCCATTTCTTGCCACTTTTCCCACCCTGAACTTAATGACTAGTCGTACTAAACTTCTAGTTGCTTAAACGTCACATCACTCTTTTCCACTTGTTCCCATGCTCTCCTTTCTTCCTGGAACATCCCTTTGACTGGCTAATCCTTTCATCCTTTAGGTCTCAGCTCAGACTTCGCTTTCTCCAGGAATTTTTCCTGCACTCAAAGAGGCTGGGATATGTGCCTCATCTGTACAGGGAGCCCCTGTACTTCCCAGTGAGACCACCATTACACTCATGGAATATTTCAGTTGCCCTCATACTTGTCTGCATTCTTCTCTAGACTGGAAGCTTCATTGTGTGTCTCATATCCCATCACCTCTTACAGTGTTTGGTCATAGTAGTGGATGAATTACACCTTGTTGAGAAAATAATGTGTCTCTCTCAGTACCTTTGCCCGCCTCTCTGAAGCTTCTGGACTGTCTGCCTCCTATCACCTTCTGGATATCTTCTTTGATTGTACCCATTTAGGGACATATTCTCAGCCCACTTGCCCTTCAGTGGCTGCTCACCACAGCTATAAATTAGTTTCCTTCTCTGATCTCCATTATTCTTTAGTCTGGTACCTTGGTTAATTGTTAATGCATGATGCCCACATTACTTGATTATAGTAAAACATCAATGTAATAATTAAAGGAGATAGTTAACTCATGATAGATAATAACAGTGTAGCTAGAGATTTAGGTTGGCTTAGGCCTACAAAAGAGGAAGTGACTAATGCTGGCAAGAGAACAGATTTGTAAAAAGAAGAAAATGACTTGCATCAAAAGCTTGATGAGCTTGGGTATTACTACCAAGATCTTCTGCATGCCCCTGGACACCGTTTTAACTCAGTACTGAAGTCACTCCTGAGGTTCACCCTTTAACCAAAGATTAGACAGGCCCATAAAACAAACAATAATACACATAGCTCAACCATGTATACAAGACTAAATGGGCACAGCAGCCCCAGAGGCAAGGATGAGAAGGCAGGAGGGGACAGGAAAACTGGACGAATGGAAATGGGGAACCGAAGGTCAAGAACAGGAGAGTGTTGACACATCATGGGGTCGGCAACCAATATCACAAAACAATATGTGTATTAATTGTTTAATGAGAAATTAATTTGCTCTGGAAACCTTCATCTAAAGCAAAAAACAAAAAAAAATCTTCTGGACAGGTATCTGTAAGGGAACTTCACACTGTCTGCAAGTTTCTTTTTTATTGTCTTCCACCAGAGAAAACAGTAAGTGGTGCTCAGCTCAGTTCCTGTTCAGTCGCCTTTTAATGGCTCCTGTACCAAAACTTCTTAATAGGGTTTTTTTTTTCCCCAAATAGGTCCCAAGCTTTTTCTTGGTTGGTTTGTTTTTTGCATTATACTTATAGGACACTAAGGTAGAAATTTATTTAAGGTTTCTAAGATGATTAGTTTTGTAAAAATGTATATTCTGCCTTTACAGAAAAAAATAGTTATTTTAAACATTGTGCTTCGAACTACTTGAATCCTTTAGAGGAAAGGCGATATGAAAATTAGAAAGTATTTTCTATCATGTGTTATACATAGTTGTGTGTATATAAAGACATGGTTCATATATAAAGTGAATTACGATTTTAAACCTCTAGTTATGCAATAGGAAAAGTAAAAGTCTGTTTTTAAGAGATATTTTGATTAGGGAGAATATTAATTGAAGGCACATGCTAACTTTGCAAATCATATTTAAAAAAAGGACAAAGAAAGTAGTTCAAATATTTTATCATTTATTATTTATAATTTTAATTTAAGGACAAAATATATTATACCATTATGTTGCCTTGATACTTTATTGTTATACTTACCTATAATTTTTTTTTATCCCAAATGAACATTTTGCATTTAAATCTTATTTCTTCAGAAATGTTCGAGAACTGCGGTTGGAGAAAGAGCAGTTAGAGTTGGAGAACCAAGAGATGGAAAAGAAACTACAAGAATTAGACTCCACAGTGAACAAAGAAATGGACAAAAGAGAGTGGGTGAAATTTTGAGACAATTTTAGAGGACTATACTGAATTATGTAAAGAAATATTTTATATGTTAGTGTCAGTCCAATGAAAATCTTCAGTGAATAAATAATTTATGGCTTTCCTTTATGAACAAAAAATATTAAATTTCCTCTCATCTTTCTTTTTATGCCCCTTATAGCATGTTGCTTTTTCACATTGCCATTCCTTGTTTTTTCCTTTAGACTCTATTTGATCCCATCCTTTTTTATTTTTATGCTTAGTTACTCTTCCAAACCATTTATGATCTGGAATGTTTAGGATGACAATGCAAGCGTTGGCCTTTGCTCTCAAAAGATTGCCATCAACGAGAAATGGAAAGCAGTTTGTTTTATTTTTAGGGCCATTTTTATTTATTGAAAGGCTTTCTGAGGGCAAGAGTTTGTATGTACATATTTATCAAAGTTAGTCAAATCATCAAGTGTGTTTAAAATATTTCTAGCAAATGCTTGTTATCTGAAATTTTATTAATGAGAACTCTCTAGTATTATACCTGTATATCTGTATTTACTACACTGAGCATTTTGTTTTTCTTAATAAAAATAATAAATAAATATGATAAAAGTTCAAGTAGAACTGATAGATATATAATGAAAATTATCTCTTCTTAGATCTGGGCTGACTCCCAGCCCATTTTCTAGAACTGCTTGTAACAATTAAAAAAATATTTTTCCTACAGATGTTTTACTTTTGTATAAGCCTCTGTATATACATGCATGTCAATGTGTGTGTATGTATCTATGTGCATCTATGTCTTTGTTCTATATTTTTACAAATAAGATCATCTATAAAAATATGTAGATTGATTCATACCCTGCTTTTTTCACTTAATATATGTTAGCAGTCTTGCCACATCAGCACACATTGATCCATCTCATTCTTTTAGTGGCTGCATAGTATTTCTTTGGATATAATAGCATTTATTTTTCAGATCTTTATTAACTTTTCAGTATTTTGTGATTATAAATGCTGCTGTGAGTATTGTCCTACATGAACCTTTGCTTGGATGTGCAACGACATCTGTGGGGCAAATTTGTAGCTGTGTAATTTCAAGTCAAAGTATATGTACATCTTACATTTTGAAAGACATTGAGATATGGTCATCCAAATAGGCTTCAACAGTTTATACCTACTCCTGTAGAGTATGAGAGTGCATGTTTCAGGTAACTCTGCTGTTACTAAATAGTATCATACTATTTGTATATTAAATTTCCTTTTGATTGATACACAAAGTGATGACCATTAAATACCTATGAAATACCTTCTGAACCATTAAAGCAAATTCAGATATGTTTATTATAGTTTTGGTATTAAATATTTGTCATTAGATTCGAACTCTTTGAGAAATATGCATGACACATACACATACTTCTCTAATAACCAGAGCTTCGGTTTAATCAAGACATCTCATGTTGTATGTCATCCCAGGTGACAGAGTTTACGGTGTTTCTTGCTGCTTCTCTTTTAATGATTCCTGGCCAGTTCTTTTCCTTTCACTGCTTTGGACTTAGTTTGGACTTCTCAGTGAATCATAGTAGTCATCTGGGAATCAGATTCCTGGTATCAGCCCCCAACAGTGGATTTTCCTTAGCCGAGGAAGCTTTTCTAGATAATTTTTTAAGCAGTTCTGAGGCTTGACTGAGTTTTCAGAATACTTGAATGCTTTTCTAAGGTCACACAGATACTAAGTGTCATGGCCAGAATGAGAACCTGCCACTCACACTAGTCAAGAAGATAGAAGTCCAGTGTTCTAATCTTGGCTTTACTATTTATTATCTGTGTGACCTTGGGCAAGTTTTTGCCTCATTGTATTTTACGTGGGAATTGGATTCCCTGCCCTGGTGACTTAAAAAAAAAAAAAATGTTGTGAGGATCAAATAAAAGTGCCTTAAAACTGTAAAACTAAAGTTTGCCTTCTTTGCAATCTCTGTCACCTTTCAATGTGGGAGCTAACTTGAAGACTTAATAAGGAATTCATCACGTAGTAGATCTGCTGAATATTTCTGGGTTTTATTTTGCTTCCTTTTCCTCTTTACATTTGTGGATCCTTAGCTTTTAAAACTGCATGGCAACCTTTACTATTTCCTATAAATCAAAAAATGATTTGTAGTCATTGTAAATATCTGAAAAATGGAATTCTTCATCCATGTTTGGACATTTAACTTTTATTCATTTTTCCACAGAAGTCACAAATATGGTAGAGCTATATATATA